CGTGGAATGCTGACTCTGTGGTCTAGTGATTAAGCGCTTACGTTGAAAACAGGCCAGGGATTCGATCCGCGCATATGGAATCATGGACACGAACTTTTTAGGAGTCATATACTTGGACGACACGGCCGTTCAGTACATCCAGACTTCCAATGGTAGTTTAACATTGATTGGTTCGCGATTCCAATGAAATTAGATAATCTTTTGTAAATTTAAGCTGCCTTGACAATTGATAAGAAACCATGATATACAATCGATTCATCATATTTCACAAATCTTGCTATTCCTGTTCAGTCTAAAATTATTACTAACAAATATTAAGGAAAGCCCTAATATATATAACTCTTGAATGCATTTCAAAATATTAACTTTAATTGTCTCTTGTCTAAATCTATTTACGAACGAGATGTATGAACAAAATATGCTGAGTTTAATTCAGTTTAGCTTAAGATCCTTAAAGTAAAATTCATGAGGTAAGATCTTTAGTAGTTTGGTTATTTTTATTCAGTGGAGATTAATTCAAGTTCTGTTTACAACTCCAGATTTTTCATACATATATTTCCTTTTATCATCAAGAACAAAGATTCTAACAGAATAGAATGAATTTATTTCGCGAGCGGAATCGAGGATGCGCACTGCTGAGGAGTTCCATAATAAGACGAGACGGCCGTCCAGTGCTTCCAAGTTCCCAATGACGGTCTAACATCAACCGATTCATGATCTAAATCATTTTATTTCATTTGGTTCTCGTCAGCCACTTACAACCTGTGATATTTAAAAACATAATCATAAAATGGGTTTAAATCAGTTACGTGAAAGAGTTTAGTCGGATATTATTTTAAAGAAATCATTATACTATGGCAAAAGTGTAGGCACATCTAATAAACTGAATATTGTAAGTACATACCTTAGGCAAAAGAACATTCTACAACACTGATTGTAACAAGAGTTCAAAAAGCCAGAAACAAATGGTTACGTAATGTGTAAACTCTGATAAAGATAAAATGAGTAAAGCTCAGTTAATAAAACCAGATTACTAATCTAGAAGACAGTTGAAATGAAAAGACGTTATGATGTAATTAAATAAAAGGAAGAGTTGAAATTTTTTTTGATGATGCAACGAAGGCATATTTGTCACCAAGGCAAGGAGAGATCAATAACAACCTCCTTTGGAACACAAAAATCAAGTTTTTGATACCTGATAGGAACAACTTCAGAAGACTAAGGCTTGGCTGCTTATTAATCACCTTGAAAGATTTAAAGGTATCGACCTGATGTCCTGTCTCTTAGGCATTTCTCGACGTTCATCAATCCTTCTCCCAGTTTTTCGGCGATATATATCCGTTCTACACCATAAAACAGTGTTTTGACCAATGCTTTCTTGTAACTGAGTGGAAAAAAACTACTGAAATTCAGGTAAAGACCATTCCAAGTACTTTTACGATAAATCGAACGTTGAACTGTCCCGTTTCCTCTACGTTGTATGGCAATATCAAGATGGTGTAACATGATATCCTTTTCGTGTTTCATAGTAAATTGTATATTGGGATCAACATTACTGAAGAGTTTTAACGGGCTGATTGCATGCTGTTTAATATTGCAGACAACAAATGTGCCATCAACACATATGGACTATTCCGTTGTTTCGCTAATCGCCTGTTTAAGTACTGTAGTTTCAAGATACCCCATAAAAATATCTACCATAATTAGGCCTAATGGACTTCCCATAGGTAAATCATCAATTTGACAGTATATAGTGTTATTGAACTGGTATTGAACGTCTTTTGTGCATAGATACTATGGTATTAAAATAAACTCTTTAAAGGCAAAATCTTGTTTTTCATAACTCACAGTAGCTTGGTATGGGAGATAGTTAAAGATGTTATCACTCTATACATTACCAAAAGGTCTCGTAGTATAGACACACAAACACATCATAGTCTGATTTATCTAACCAACTGATTTATATAAAATTAAATTAATCATAAGAGTAAAAGAAAACAATTTCGTGGATTGGTTGAAATTAGACATAAACGCCGTTGAATGCCAACTTATTGATCTAAAGGTTAAGCGTTCGCGCGAGACTGATAGGTCCTGGACTGGGATCTCGCGAGACGGCATCGCGGATGCGCACTGCTGAGAAGTCCCACGACAGGACGAAACGGCTGTCCGATGTTTCCAGGTTTTCTATGATGGCCTAGTTTCAATGGACTCATGATCTCAACAATTAAATTAATTTAAAATTGTTAGAAAAAGGAAATTTGTTGAACCGATTGGGATTTTTAATGGATCCAATAGATTATTTAACATTAATATATTATGATTAGCTGTAATAAAGTGAATTTAACACAGTATGTTTTAGTTCTAGTTATTTTTGTTCAATACAGTTTTTTGATTTCAAGGCTATTGACATGATTTATAATTGTATAAGGGTTTCATTCAGTTGTACAGTTAATTATCCTTCAATAAATATAACAGCATGGAAAGAATACTGTAAATTATATAAACACATTATTATCTAGACTTTCTGTTCCAGAGGCTGAAAGTTCGCGCGCGAGATCGAAAGATCTGGGTTTGAGTCTCGCGTGTGAGATCGTGAATGGGCATTGCTTAAAAGTCTCATACCGAGACTTAACAGTCGTTCAATGCTTCCAGGTTTTCAATAGTGATGTAGCTTACATTGACTCATGAGTTCAACTATTAAAATACTACAATCTCCACAAATCCCCATTCTAACATAATTGTTACAATTTTTGGTAAGGTTAAATAGTATCTAGCTATGGAATTCAAAAGGTGGTTTTCTTTTTATTCTGGACTCATTAATTAGGTACACCAGCATCGCAGTGTTAATGTTCAGAACACAAGTTCTAGATTATATAGCTAGCCATTATTAAATTTTGCCAAAAAAAGAAAACAACAACTTACAGGTTCAACAATTATATCATAGTAGTGCATTCAAGATGTAAATATATCAAAAAAGGCTAAACAATTCTAATCTTTAATATCAATAACTTGCAGATACAAGCATTAACAAATGATTGTTACAGTTTACTGTCTATACAAATCAAAATCTAGTGATTTCTTTTACATGTTCATCTATGTAATTTATAATGGTTTATTTAAAGTATTAAAAATTTATTCCTGAACTGCTAACTTCTAACTGACAACCATTCAATATGTTATCTTCAGGATAGACTAAGTAATAAGAAACGCAAACTTGTTGAAATACTTTATGCTGTTTATCATATATTTTACCAAGACTATAATATTGAATACTGCGAATAATAATAATAAAATGAACAGTTGTCAAATTATAAATAAATAATATACTTGTAATATACCAATGAGTAGAAAAATTAGATTTTCTGAAGTTTCGTGACTTAGCATGAGCTACTTCTTCAGAGAATAAATAACCGAATTAAAATTAATCCAAGTTTGAATAGTACAACGGAACAACAAGTTGTTCATGAACATGGTTATTGTTTAGTTTACTACTTATTATTGAATGTCATATCGTAATAATCAGTAGTAGAAGAGAAAAATATGATGTCAACTTGAATGAAGTTAGTTGAAACATATGACTACTTTAAAAACAAAACAATATGTTACATTGAACCAAATGGAAATTTTCAAATATATCAAACTGCTCATTCAAGCTTATATTACATTATATAATAATTATAAATATACGGTACAATCGTATAGTATGACTATCAAATTATTTATAATTATCAGTATAGGGGTTATGGAGATTATCAAGTTTTTGATTGAGATCTTGAACCGATTCGTGTTAGACCACCATTAAAAACCTGGAAGCACTGCGCGGCCGTTTCGTCCTATTTCAGGACTCCCCAGCAGTGCGCATCTACGACCCCGCTAGCGGGATTCGAACCTAGGGTATTCAGCCTCGCGCACGAACGCTTAACCTACTGGACCACTGAGCTGACATCCAATTGTGTCAGTGTCTAACATCTTCCGCGAGACTGGAGGCCCTGTGTTCGAATCCCATAGGCGGGATCGTGGATGCGCACTGCTGAGGAGTCCTAAAATAGGACGAAACGGCCGTGCAGTGCTTCCAGGTTTTTGATGGTGGTCTAACATCAATCGGTTCATGATCTCAATCAAAATATTTATAATGAATTTAATAGTTTTTTTAATAGAAAATAAACAGAATTGCAAATATTATTAATATTCATTTCAGTAATCTATTTTGATATAATGATATGTGAAAAAATTTTTGTTTAAAAATGAATAAACAGGATCATAAACACCAATAAAATGTGTAACAGAATGGTTCATTTTTAACAGTTTCTTTCATGCTCAAACACCAATGCATCAATTTCGATTTGAATAACCAGTTAGTATAACTAGCTTACATATTTGAAGTGTGCTTCATCATCAAATACACAAATCTGTTAATCGTTAATTTTGACAAAGAACTTGAATGATAATAATAAAACATTTGAGTAGTCATTGTGATACTTCTTTGAATAGGACTTACAAGTGGTTGTTCCTATTTTGCTTCAGACAATCAATTACATTGAGATCATGAACGGATTGATGTTAGCCCACCATTGAAAACCTCGAAGCACTGTACGGTCGATTCGCCCTATTGTGGGACTCCTCAGCAGTGCGCATCCGCGATCCCGCTCATGAGATTCAAACGCAGGGCCTTCAGTGTCGCGCGTGAACGCTTAACCTACTGGACCACTGAGGGCTGGAAGTAGATAGGACACACAATGAGGAAAGCACCCAACTACGTCACAAGACAAGCCTTCACATGGAATGCTCAAAGCCAAAAGAAAAGAGGAAGACCAAAGAAAACATTACGCTGGGAAACGGAGATAAACATGAGAAAAATGAACAAGAATTGGATGGAATTATAAAAGAAGGCCCAGGATAGAGTGAGTTGGAGAATGCTGGTCGGCGGCCTATGCTCCATTAGAAGTAACAGGCGTAAGTAAATAAGTAAGTAATCAATTACATAACAATTTCAAACTTACATTGTTTTAATAAAATCAGTGTTTCTTTCTCTTCATCTTGTCCAATTGGTTTATCAATAAACTGATTATTCACATCAATTTCAGCTTTTAATCGATTACGTAATATTATTGGTAATGAATTCCATTCAGATTCATTATTCACATTGACTTTTGGTACCGTTTTCAAATGTAATTGATGTAAAATTTTATTCTTAAATTTTTCAATTATGGATTGTATTTTTTCATTATATTGAGGATTATTGAATTGTGGATTTTTATCATTTTCATTATCATAAGGGTTAACACCATGATCATTTGTAATGATATTAGATAAAAATGGATTATTCATTTGTTGTGTAAGCCAATGATCTGAATGATATAAATAGGATCTAAGTGATTGTTTTTGTTCATTAGATAATTGTAAATAATATCTTAATGGTCTATGATAATATTGTTTGAATGTATTAGTTGTTGTTGTTGCTGTTGTTGGTGTTGGTGTTAAGATAGATGCATCAACTGTCAGATTCATTGAATGAAATAAATCATATTTTAATTGACTTTTAATAATAATCATTAATAAAATAATAAAAAATTTTATATTAAAATGATTACAGAAATTTTTTAATAATAATTCTATGTGTGAATGAATATAATATTGAAACTGTTGAATTGATAAGAAAGCGGAATTTTCAAATATCATAGATGATGATGATGATAATAATAATAATATATGATGTCCTAAGATTATAATTCGTTTATAAACAATATTATATAAGAGATTATTGTACATATTACTTATGTATTAAAGAATTGGGAAACTTTTTCTTTTTGATTGTCAATGATCTATTGAGAAACACTCTGTTGTTATATATATATATATTAGGTAGAAATATATATATGTAAATTTAATTGGACAATACCTATGTGATCTTATCCGGTATACAACTCAAAGGTATTATAATATAAAACTGCTCACTTCATCGAATATCATATGAGATGAATTTGACTAGAGACACTCAACATAATATTAGCTGTTATACATAGGGTGTATATATATATATATATATATATATATATATATATATATATATATATATATATATATATATATATATGTATATGGGAAGTTGGAATGAATCTACCCTAAAGATATATATGTCTATATATGAACACAAATACTTATTATTGTCTATTAAATTATATGAATTTTTAACTAATTTCACTGTTACTTTTTCATTGTTTAAAATTTTCTCTTCCTTTACAATCTCCCTTTATTCTTTTTTTAAAAGAAAAATATGTATATATACATATTGTCTATGAACATGTGTTCAAAGAATACAAACTTTCCTCCCTTTCTTACAATTGTTGACATGGTAGAGAAGCAGTAATTTTGTTTCCAGGTATACATATATATATATATAAATGTATGGTTGTTAAGTTTTGAAAACGAACGTTTTTCGTCTGTTTTTTTTAAACAATAGAAAGTAATAAGAATAATAATGAAATAAACTTGTTCATAACCTTGGTTGGTTAGTGATAATCATTTTTAAAATATTAACTATAGATAGATAGATAGATAGACATGAAAATTATTCCCACCTACCTGTCAATAATTATTCATAAACCAATAGGATACTTTTATTTATTTCCTTTTTTTGGGATCAAATATACACTTATCACATTTGAACTATAGAATTGTAGACTGATTATCTGTTTGATATAAACAAATTAATTATTATATGAGATTTATGTAGATTATTCAAGGTTTTTTAATGTACATTATGACAATTATTTAAAACTGGAAAATACTGGAGAGTTGTTTTATCCTAGGAAATGACTCTTCATTGATTCAAATGGATGATTAAATAATAGATCTAATTGAAGACTTTTAGATCTTGTAACATGGGATTAACTTTAGATGAATCATCCTTTGAAAACACTAATATTGGGTGTAAGTACGTTTAGGTACCATGTTTCAAGATGATATGAAAGCCTGTTTTAATATCATAGTTAGAAAAAACTGATATGATGGAAAGAAAAGTCACTTTTTGATTGATATTTTGATATTTTGTTCTGTAAAATATGCGATATTCTTGTATTCCATTGACATGAACTATGCTCAGTATATGGTTTGTTATATCTCTAAGTATTTTTCATATATATGATTTCATCCCAATTATGAATCAAAATGGTTATGCAATCAATATATAAATGAATGTATTTTCTACTAGAGTTGTCGTCGTCGTGTTTTTTGTGGTTAATAAATCTCAACTTATACCAGTCTTTGTGTTCTTACTTTCACATCGTGGAAATTGCAGAGGTCCCTCGTTCCGAGTATAAGTGATAAACGTTTCCGATATAACAATCAGCGACGACCAGATACAAAAAGTAGCATTAAAAGAGCCAAAACAATAAGCATCCAAACGACAAGTTATAACAAAAACACAAGCTTTTTTGAAAAATTCTTAGTCATGTTGTATATAGAGAAGTGCTTATAGTGCATAATTCAGTAATATGAACAATATTTCACAGACTAGTGATCATAGATATTTTTACTAAAAAAACTATAATCGAGAATACTGGATTCATTATTACTAAGCTTATCTGGTCTGACAGTAGCATTGAAGAAGGATGTTAATAAAAACAATACTGAATAAATTATTCATAAAATTAAAAATCATAGAAATTTGAGTTAAAATGGAAAGTTTAGTAACAATCTAATCACAATAATGAAAACAGAGTATGTACAGCATTGATAAAGCAAATGTTAAATCAACTATAATTATTAGCATTTTTGTCTAATCGTTTAAAATGAATAAATATAAGTTAGGCATTAATATCGTTGGATGCTGGCTCAGTGGTCTAAAGGTTAAACGTACACGCATAAGACTGAAGGTCTTGGGTCGAGTCCCGTGTGTGAGATTGTGGATGCTCACTGTTTAGAAGTCCCATACTAAGATGAGATGGCCATCTAGTGCTTCCAGATTTTTAATGGTGGTCTAGCCTATATTGATTCATGAATTCAACTGTTGAAATACTACAATCTTCACTACTGAGGATAAATGTAATTTGAGAAAATTATTGAACTTCACAATAATACATTCGTAATACTTGTATAAGTAATAAACAATTTGGATTACATGTTTGACACAACTTCGTTTAAGTTGCTTCATCAACACATTTGGATTTGGTAATTTACACATTGTTTCAACCACTTACCTTACTCTTTAAATGAAAAATGTATTTTGATTCATTTTTTAGGAAATTTTTAAAATTAATTTAATGGTTGTTAAATACACGATACATTACTATGATCGATTTCATTTTAACATTTCCAAGGTTTACAAAATCGTGACGAAGTCTTTTAAGATACTTTAAATGGTAAGACCTGTAGTGTCGGTTACTATGTTAAGCCCATATAACTTATTCTAGCTTCGGGAAAGACCAATTTCTTCATTATTCTTGTGTCATATTTTGACCTTGTTAATTATTCACTTTTCAACCTTGAGTGTTTATATATAAGCCTATGTGTATACACTTTTTATCCTTTTCATCACATGTCTGTAACTTATTTTTTTGTGACTATAAACTCTCAGTTAAATGGAGACTGCTTACATGCCTTCTTCACTGAGCGTCGTTCCGCTTCGTCCCTCTGATTGTCTGTCCAGATGAATGTGTACAAAATATACATATTCAAAACTTCGTTCTCGTACTTGACTTATTTAATTCCGTTATTCAGCAACTCGAGTTAGGTCGATAATAATATACAAGAATAGCCAGGATATATATTTCGACAACAATCATTCAATAGCGATCAATATATGATCTAATCGGAGTCAAATTTTGGGCTACTAAAGTGGTGAGCTTATCAACAACATCGTTCAATCTAATTGACAAAAAAATAAAGGCCTCCATTAAAGACTCTTCAGTATGAAATGTTTCATCATGACGACCTAAATTTGTAGTTTAGTGTTACTATAAATGAGATTTATCTATTACTTTATCCATAAAATTTTGAATATTAAATCAATTTTTCCTGTGTATTTAATTTTCTTTTCTCAATATTTAATGATTATCGGTAAACGATTTTGTGAAGATTGTATAATTTCTGTGGCTTAAATTACAAACTGATTTTAGATAGACCACCATTGAAAAACCAAGTAGTACTAAATAGTTGCTTTATCCTAGAATGGGACTCCTTAGTAGTACTCATCCACGAACTTTGTACAAAGAAATAAACCCAGGATCTGTGGTCTCGGGTGTGCATGCCGAACTTCTAAACCATGAAGCAGTCACCTAGGGGTATACATGTCTAACTTCAATGAATTTGCGGTATTTTAGGAGTTCTAGTGACCAATCGAGTTCAAAAATTTTGGTTGTGAAACTACATTACATTTTATGATAGACGGTCACGTATTAACGTGAATTGATTGGAATTAGACACCTATACCACTGGACGATGGTTTACTGATCTAGAGGTTAAGATTTTATAAGAGTTTCTAATTTGTGATTTATCACTGAAAATATCTCATTTTCAATTAACAGTTAATTTGACTTGATATAAATTTCATCTGACAACAGTCAATGTACATACTGTGGTAATCTTCACAAACTGTACTTCATAATTATTGAGACTTAACATATTCTTTTAAAGTTACTTTGATTTTATCGGGCATCTTTTTAAAAATTAATGGAGCACATATGACAGCGTGATTGTCTTCTCTGATACGCCATACTAGCTCGTATGAGTGTAAATTAAAAACAGGCTATCATTAGTCAAAACAATACACAATATGTATTATTGAAATGATAAGCTATTGGATAGAATAGAGTTAAATCCCCCAGACATTTTCATGTATACAAGTGAAATACTCTTATTCCGTAGTCAATCATCTCAAGTTAGGCGACATGAAATCAGTCGGAAGCATACTGTTACTCTATGTTTGTAGACTCCCTGATGTTACCCTTCTTTTCGGATTACATGTCGTCTTTTGAATAAATACCCAAAGTAAGGTCAATATTACTTTTCATTACATAAACAAGAGTACGTTTATTTGGCCTCCATTTAGAATAATATACTTTTTTGATCTCTTCATAAGTCAGAAACAACGATCTCAACGTTCAAAGTTTATCTGGAAACATATATAATTACATTTCTTCCAAGCTCAATTCTTCAGAAAACAATACTTAAGTAATCAGTAGTCAAAAGCTACAAGGGACGGCTCATATTTAATTTTTTTTACTCAAGATAGAAGATAGACAGTCACCCTACCTTTTCATTATTCTTCCAATCTTCAAACTTGATTCACTTGAAAATAACTAGTTTTCACTGTCTGACCTCTCTCTCTTTCTCTCGCATAGACATTCTTCAACATTTTATAAATATTCTGATAAATTTTCAAAATTTTGATTTACTTAGTTTAGTAAACAGTAGCAACTATTTTGTGACTGATATATTAACTTGATCAGGTCATAATTACTAGAATGTAGTCTGCCCTAAATCTGGCAGATTCTATGGATTACTAATTTGGATTTATAATTGTAGAACCTGATGAGAAATTATTGAAAAGAACAATCTTCGTTCACACAATTGTGTTGCAATATTTACGGTTGAAAATGAATCATGTAGATAATACCTGATGTTTAAGCAAATCCTAATACTTAATTACTTATTTACGCATATTACCCCTCGTGGAGGAGCATAAGCCGTCCACCAACATTCTCCGTCTAACTCTATCCTGGACGATTCTCCCCAATTGTTTCCAGTTGTTATTCAATCTTTTGATGTAT